TACTCGTTCCCACCCCGTTGCCACCACCATCCCGTTCCCAGTCTCATCCCTGTCCCCTTCGCGATCTTAATCTCAACACACTCGTAACTCGTTCCCCCGTCCGATCCCATTCCGATCCCATTTCAGTCCCGATCTCGTTCTCCTCACAGACTCAAATCTGTCCCAACCCCGACTTGATCATAACCTACTCCCAATTCGAGACCACTCCATTCCAGACCCCCACAATTTGCCTCGCACCCCCACCTCAACCTGGTTCAGTCCACCCGCCCCATCCACGTCACCTCATATCATTTCCCCCTCCCTTTCTCCACCATCCCTCCTTATTCAGTCTACGAAACTCCCACAGCCTCTCCGATCATATCCCGAATTTGTCCCCAGCCCTTTTGTCCCCATCTGGTTCGCGATCTCACCTCGCCACACACTCACACATCCCTTGTCTTCTCCCGTGCTTCCATCCCACACCCATCTCGAGTCACCCTCCGCTCCACCCCGATCCCGACCCCCTCGTTAATCTATTTCGTCCTGATCCCGAGTACTCCTCCTATATCGATCCCACCCTTGCCCCGACCACAGTTCTATCCCCGTTTGATCCCCACCCTCCACGGTCCTCCCCTCTGACCAAGGCCACACGGCGAGCAACACGGGATTACCTCTCCACAGACCGAGCTCTCATCTCTCGCATCTTGTCCGTCCAGTCACTAAACCAACACTGGGACAGCGAACAAGGATCACAAACGAAAATGGAAGGCAGGGGAATCGAAACACAGAACTGGCTAGCCGAACAAACAAGGACATCACTTACCAAAATAACCAAAGTAATTGATCAGGGAGGAAACAATCAAGAAGAGGTAGTAATCTACCAATGTCCGAAGGAACTCACCGCTAAGCAGGAAGAGTTGCACAAAAAACACGCTGTACACTTCACATTCGCAAAGAAGAGTCAGGAGCTAGATAGACAAGCTAAGTTGAAATGGATCTGGGAAAAACTGAAGAACCTGGAACCAATCCAGGGAACAGACCCCAAGGTGTCCTTTCATCCAAGGTCACAGAACGTCATCATGGTGTTGTGTATGGAGGAGGCTCTGGCAACCTTCATAAGGAACAAATGTTTCACATGCAATTCGTCGGTGGTTACAGTTCATCCCTGGAAACAGGCATTGGGATATCAACAAACACCTTTCAAATACAGACAGGACCAGTTAAAAAAACATTTTTGGATGCAATTTGACAATGTGCCGGAAGGAATGCACGGCTGCGTCAAAGAAAGGGTGAAAATGGAATATGGACACTGCAAGGAATCACACTGGATAGTATCTACCCCAGATTTTCTCACACCACAGCACAATCAAATGACGGTGATCTTGGACACAGGAAACAGTCCCGCCCCTTTCACTCCCGAAGAATGGTTCTTCGAGCATGAAAGCAAAGTCATCAGAATTACGGTGTCTAGAAAATCCAACCCTCTCTGCTTCAAATGCAGACAGAGAGGGCACCTGGGAACAAACTCAAGCTGCCCCAAGGTTAGAGAGAATGCTAAGCCCAAGCCGCTCAAAACAGCGAACCTACAAGAGGTAGCGGAAAAGAAAGGATACTGGTACATCCCGAGTGCACAATACACAGGATGGGTCTTTAATGACAATTTGGAAACTCCGGACTGGGTCTGGACGCTGGATAGCGATCCAACACCCCGACCAGACGTCTACCCGCCGTATGACAGCAGATGGCAAACCTCGAAAGTGGAGAAGAAATCCGCCAAATGCTTCACCAGTGATCCGACAATAAATGTGGACACATTAAAGCAGGAAATTTGGGAGAAAGATCTGCGTGCGGATCTGTGTGCGGATCTGCAGTTAATTCAAGAGGTCACTGGAAATAAATGGGTAGAAGCAGTCCGGCGGGACCAAGAATTGGAAAGAAACAAAGAGGACCCGCAGAAACAAAGGACTTACACTAGAAGGACGCAGAAGGGGAAAGCCAAAACAGGGCAGGGACAAGGGGAAAACACGGCTGGGACAGAGCAGGAAGAAGGGACGAACACCCCTCCGGGTGAAGTCAGTACGGACAGCCAGCTGCCTGCAGTGGGGGGGAAGAGAAAACATCGAGAGGGGGCATGTGACAGAGATGAAGCAGCGGAGGAACAAGAGTGGGAAGAGGAGGTATATTACCTGTGGTCTGAGCGACAGGAAAGCGAGATACTGAGCTTCATACATAAATTTGAGAAAGAAAGGCAGGACAAATATGACCTGCAGTTGATCCTACATAGAGAGGAACAAAGAAACAGACAAGCAGCAGCGGCAACCAACCCGACGCAAGCCATTCCTCTCACGGAGAATCCGTTCGCTCCCTTGGAGAGAGAGGAAGAATTGGCTGCTCTCCTGGCAGAAAAGTATAGTGCAACAAAGGAGAATCAGGAGATGGAAATTGATGATGGTAATAGCAATCCTGACAAGGAGAACCTGCAGACTGGCGGATCCAAACTACCCAAGTACAGGCCTACACTCACTCTGAATGGACAAAAGGAGCAGCAGGGGCAAACAGAACCCAACCAGGGAAGTGACCACATAGCTTTGCTGGGTATTCAAGAGGAGGCACTCTATGCGCAATGCGAAAGACTCTACGATCTAAACAGAGAAATGTCTCTGCGCACGGTGACAGTGCAGGACCTCCACCTCAAAGCACACGCTGGATTCTGGGAAAGAGCGAGAAAGGAAGCAAGCACGCTCCTACCATCCCGAGCAGTGATTCCCATACAATTTGACCCAGAGAGAGAACGGTGGAATGTTGCAATTTGCAGCGACCTGACAATTCCCAGATTGCAAAAGGGACAAAAGAAGGAGGTGTTACTGAGCAAAATCTGTAAGGGAAAGGGATCTAGGATTATGGGATTAGTAGGAAAAGACCCACACGAAGGGGAGAACGGCCAAATTGACATGCTTGAAGTAGAGGAAGGGAAGACCCCCAGTCCATACGATGCAAGGCCAATCCTAGTATGCTGCGACCAAGAAACAGAACTTGCGGAGGGCTTCCAGTGGAGACCTTGGTGGTGGATGGCAGCCCTACCTGTCACAGTTGTGGGTAATGAAACAACCAGGTCCCAAAATGCAACAGCACTAGCCTCCTTGGTGAAGGATGGAGTGCTCAAAATGGGGGAAGACGAGTTGCTGTCCCATCTCCACCCATGTGAGGATGAACCAAGATGCAGCTCCTCAACTTAAACCGACACAAACAAGCCAAACACATTAACGAACCACATAAGCAATGAACGACAAAAGGGGGGACCTGAAAATCCAATCTTGGAATGTCAGAGGTTTGGCAACCATCTTTTATAATCTAGAAAAATGGCATTGCCTTCACAACACCACGGGTTGGAACAGTAACAACCCCCCGGACGTGCTATGCATACAAGAAACTCACCTCACCAATTCGGAACAACACAAGACAATAAAAAACGAGTTTGTCAGAAGATTAAGGAATTGTACGACGGAAGTGGTTGCGTACAGCCCCCAACAGGCATCAGCAGGGGTACTCATCCTCACTCATAGTAATTTAGAGGCAGCGCAATTCTTACACGTCAACTCAGCAACAGTAGACCAGTCAAAAGGAAGGTGGGCCAAAATAGAGTTGTCGTATAGGGGTGAAGAGATAGCAATCATAAACATATACTCCCCGAACTCCCCAGCGGAAAAAGTAGAATTTTTGGAAGAGGTCAAGGGCCTAACCCAGCAACAAATACACACAATCATAGTAGGGGATTGGAATACAATCCAAAACCCACAATTAGACAGAATATCCTGGGCGGAAGAAAGCTCTCAAGACCCAGCCTCAACATCCCTGGCACAACTTACGCTAGAAAATAGTCTTAAGGACCCTTATAGAATGCTTTACCCGGATAAAAAGGATTACACGTGTATTAGAAAGACTACCCAAGGTAGAACTTCGTTCTCAAGAATAGATTTCTTCCTCATTTCAGAGTCGTTAGAAGGAGCGGTAATAGACTGCACAATAGGAAGACTACCCCACTACACAGGCTTCGACCATAACCCAATAACCATTACGTTAGAATTAACCCTGGATAACACCTCAGGAAGGAGTTTTTTCAATTAAATACTTCCTTACTCAGCACAGACACCTTCAAACAGGGCATCCAAAATAAATGGAAGGAGCTAACTCAAGGCTTCCAAGAAGGTGAAATCTGGACTAATCTTCCGGCAGCGACTAGATCCCTAAGTGAGTGGGCAAACTGCTTCTCGAGCAACGAAGCTAGAAGGAGGAAGGCAAGACAAGAAAGTCTGGAGGCAATAGTAGAACTAGCCAAATTTAACCTCATAGCCAACCCAGGGGACACACTCTATGAACAACTGTTGGACGAGGCTAGGACAAAACTCAGACATTGGGCAGATTGGAGGAGGCAAGGCTTGGCCATTAGAGCAAGGGTAAGGGACTGGGAAAGCAATGAAACTATGACGAAATATTTTTTCCAGAGGATTAAGGCAAACCATAGGAACAATAGGATTCTCGGGCTAAGAGACTCTACAGGAACCCATGCTAAAGGTAGCAGCAGACTTCTATCAAGATCTGTACACATCTAAAACCGGCCCAAGGGAAAACAGTAACATTCAGAGAGCTAGAGAAAAATTCCTGAAACATTTGGATAAAAGCCTCAAGCAAGAGGCAATAGACTACCTAGATAAAGAAATAACCAAAACGGAACTTTATGAAGCTCTCAGGAGCATGCAGCCGAACAAAACCCCCGGACTGGATGGTCTGCCAAAGGAGTTTTGGCAGGCCAACTGGCACATTATGGGCGAGAAGGTCGCAGCCTTCTTCCAAAAGGCTTTTGAGATAGGATCCCTTGGAGAAGAGGTCAGTACTGGGGTTGTAACTCTTCTTTATAAGAAAGGAGAAAGAGAGGACATAAGGAACTACAGACCGATAACCCTCCTACTAGTAATTTACAAAATACTGGCAAAAACACTGGCCAATAGAATACGCAACGTTACAGACAAATGTTTTCACTTAGATCAAACGGGTTTCATCCCGGGAAGATACATCCTAGATAACGTGGTCTGCCTGAACGAAGCCACCAAAATAATTAAGGACAAAAAAGTGCAAGCGGCCATCTTATTCTTCGACTTCGAAAAGGCCTATGACCAGGTCAATTGGGACTTCCTACAACTAAGTATGGAAAAAATGGGAGTTGGGCCGAATTTCAGGAAATGGATAAGGGTGCTTTATGGGGATGTAAGAGGGATGGTTCAGGTCAATGGGCACTTGTCAGAAAAATACAGAATGACGAGATCCGTCAGGCAAGGAGATCCGCTGGCAGCTCCAATTTTCCTGTTCGTGATGGAAGCAATTGCAGCGTTCTTACGAAAAGACCCCTCAATAGAAAGACTTTCAGCCAACCATGATGGAAGACCGATAAATATCCCCACAGTAATGGTTTTTGCCGACGATTTAACTGTTTTGATCAGGGCATCTGATTCGTCCTTTCTTGCGCTTACTAAAGCAATGCAGGCTTTCCAGCTAGCCTCAGAAATGAAGATAAACTGGAACAAAACAGTGGGTTGGTGGCTTTTCCCCATCAGACCCTCCGCAGCAAACCCAAGAAACCCGGGGTCTACAATGGCTGGACGCCCAGAGTCCGGTACGCTTTTTGGGCATCCAAGTTTCGGAGAGGGGTGTTAACGAAGCCTCAGGCACCAGCCTTCTTGTCAAGATGTCCAACAAAATGATGGGATGGCAAACAGCTCATGTGTCTCTCATGGGAAGAGCTTTAGTGCTCAACGCCTCAATTTTATCAATGGGATGGTACACAGCATCTCTATGGAACCCATCTCCAGCCTTCTTTACCAACCTCAAAAGGAAGATCGGAGTGTATCTATGGACAGGCAAAGCGGATAAGGACAAGTACATCACCAAAGTAGCATGGAAATACGTAACGAGGCCAAAAGCCCAAGGGGGCCTAGGCCTATTGAACCCAGCGTCCCAATTCCAAGCACTGCAAATAAAGTGGATAATCAAAGTTATCTTCAACAGGGAGCTCCCATGGCACAACATGGCGTTGCACCAGATCCGCAACCTTGTTCCTTTCAAAGTGGACCCCAACATAGAAGGATACCATTGGTTACTCAACCCAGCATGGACCCCTGCAAGAAAGGAAGGAAAAAAACAGTTGGCGGATAAAGACCCGCCCAGCGAGCACTGGGCCACTCTGATCAAACACTGGAGAGGCGTTTTCCCGCAAAAAAATAGATCTCCACAAATCAGAGAAGAGGTGTTGAGACAACCTCTATTTGGTAATCCTCTATTGAGAGACCAAAATAACAATTTTTGGCCATTGAACTCTAAGGGCAGGCAGTGGAGAAAATGGGTGGGTAAAGGAGTATGGAAAGTAAAGCATCTGTGGAATGTAGAAGAGCACAGATGGTTCACTGCACAAGAGTTGAGAACCAAACTTGAAGGAATACACAACCTGAGAAACCAACTAGAAAGTTTGCTCGACAGCATCCCGCTGAAATGGGAGCTATTGCTGAAATCCGGAACCAAATGGTGCACAGGAGAATGGGCCACAAGGAGAGGTACAAGTATACYGCACGAGGGATACAAGCTGACCAAAATRCTGGAAGWWGGKGAAGGGAAGGCAGAGTTCGAATCTTGGGAACTAATAGATACCCACAAAACCTGGGTAAAACCAGGGAAAATATTAGAGCAAAGGTTAATAATGGAACTCACGAACCTAAAAAAAGTTAGAGCTTGTACGCCCAAAAACTATCATAAAGGAAACCCACAGCCTGAACAGGAGCAAAGGAAGGTATGGATCTATAGACCCGAACTAGGTATTGAAGAACTGGAAGTAGACCCAGCTGAATGGGGATGGTATGTCCCGGACAGAAGGGGAAGGGTAAAAAAACTTACCCCTCTGTGCAATTATGAGGTAAGTGCGGGATACAGGCTATTGAATACCACCAAGGACCCTTCACCAGTAATTAATGATAGATGGAAGAAAAACGCAGGAGAAAACTCAGGCTGGACAGGTAGAATACCCTGGTCCASGTTTGCCACTATAAGGCCGGCAAGAATCAGTAGCCTGCAATGGCTCATAATTTACTGGGCGGTGCCRGTCAACCAATGGCTCAATAAAAGAAGACGACAAGAGGAGATCYAACCTCAAGCAGCATGGTGTAGAGTGTGCAATGAAGGTAGCGAAGAATCCTTGATACATTGTTTCTTACTCTGTCAACGAGCCCAGGAACTATGGGACAGAACCAAAAAGGGATGGAATAAGGTGACAGGCCGTACTTTCCCTTCAGGAACAAATTACCTACTGGCGGGAAGAACTGAGGACATTGACCTGGAAGAAGAGGAAATCCCCTTGGCCGAGCTGTGGAGGAGATCGACCCTTTGGGTAATATGGAAAGCAAGATGCAAAGGCACTCTGGACAACCAATTCCCAAGCATGGAGGAAAGATGGGCAGAAGTAAAATCCACGATACAAACGGAAATCAGAGCACGTTGGGCGAAAGAACAAAAAGAACAACAGAGGCTAACACATCCAGAAAAACGTGAATCAAGACAAAAGAGGTTTGAGGAAATCTGGTTCTATGAGAACAGAATGGTAAAGATAGAGAAAGGAAACCTTCAGTTCCAGAGCTGGGACTGACAAGTTAAGGGGGCTCACGCACATTCACCAAGCACTTCTTCTCGCCTCCTTTCCTTGAACGACCCTCTCAACTGCTCCTCCTGACTAACACCCCCGATCAGACTCGGAAGGCGGAAAGGATCTGGTCTGCAAGATTGGCCCGAAGATGAACAACAACGGAAGAAGGACAAGCGAAGATTAGGATGAGTTGGTCGCTCAACGGTAAGACTACTGAAATTACAGGAAGATCGGGTGTGCGGGAAAGACTGACGCAACTCAAATCCCGGAAAGGGGCTCTCGTCAACACCCAAGGCTGGAGGAGGCAACCTTGACTTAAACTGTTGGCACAGGGGGGAAAAGGTAAACTCTCCAAGCAGCGCAGGCAACAGGGTAATTCGATGCATCGAAGGCTACGTGAGCCGGCAGAGGAAGAAGACCTGGAGAAATTCGGCGCAGAACCTTCGTAGAGAGGGTTTAGTGTTTAGGGCTTTAGGGTTTTTTTCTTAAACCAGTAATAAAAAGAGAGGTTCTGAGTGGGCTCGTTTCTCAAGGCCAGGGTCACAGGAATGGGGAGAAATGGCTAGCTTGGCTGGCCTCTATACTCAAAGGACCGATGGCCGAAGGTCAGGACTGAAGGCGGAAGGCAGAGGTCAAAACCACTCTACGGTTATCATAAGGGGGCAGGAAGGAGGGGAGGGAAGAACTTAGCATGAGAAGGTCAGTAGAAAGGCTCATACTACTTGTAAGATTGATATATGGCGGACCTCGGTTCGGGATCCAAGAGGCGAGAGGGGGACAGGGCAAACGGACAGTTATTACCCACGCTTGCAGGGAGCAATTGGCACTCGTCAAGGGCCCTACGGCCAGAAGGAGCAGGAGAGCAGACTGGGAGTTCAGAGCTTAGGGTCGAATGCAGTTAAGATGAGGGGGCAGGAAGAAGGAAAAGGAGTGGACCAGGCAGGTAAGCAGGTCTCTCTCTAGGAATAATGATGTCATCTGGCAGATCGGGACAACAGGTCTGAGAGGAGAGAGAGGGATAAGGCAAACTGACAGTCAATCCTCCACTGCGGTGGAGCAATCAATGCTGTTCAGGGGTCCTTCGGCTTTGAACGGGAAATACACAGACTAGGCAGGGGTGAGAGGTGTTACATCCTTCCTCAGGGAAGTAATCAATGCCGCCTGCTCGGGCCTCTCAGCCATAATGGGGAGGAGCGTGCGTGAGTCTTTTATGTATTCCATTTGACTTGCCGGGGGAATAGGAACCGGACTGTCTCTCCCCAGAATGGCAGGAGCCAGAAACCTGAGGTTCTGAAAAAAAAAAAAAGACCTTCGACGGCAGGTCAATCTGGACGACTGTGACTCGTGGACTGGAGGCCAGACCTCCGAGTCAAACACTACATAAGCTGGGGTCTACAGGGAATCGACATTCAGTCTTGCTATGCTGATTCAACGCTGGCTTGACTTTGACTTGACGCTGGCATTATGCTAGCGCGACGCTGGCTGTGCAACAGAGCTGCGGACGACGACACGTGGGAGGAGCGTCGCTGGCATTGCGCGGCAGGCATGCTGACGTGGCGCTGCCTCTGGTACGTGTGGCGCTGCCTATGGTCTACGTGGAATGCTGACGTGGCGCTGCCTCTGGTACATGTGGCGCTGCCTATGGTCTACGTGGCATGCTGACGTGGCGCTGCCTCTGGCATATGTGGCGCTGCCTATGGTCTACGTGGCAATGCTGACGTGGCGCTGCCTCTGGTATATGTGGCGCTGCCTGTGGTCTACGTGGTATGATGATGTGGTGCTGCTCCTGTATACGTGGCGCTGTTCTTGGTCTTCATTGGTGATGTGGCATATGCCACCTGTCCCGTCTGATGTGGCATTGTCCACACTACTTACATGAGGTGACTGGTTGCGAGGGAGAGTAAGATCAGGACTGTGGAGAGATCGTGATACGTACCTGGTGGTCTTCATGATGACATTGCTCCAGCGCTGATGAGAGACTAATTAGAAGTGCCATGTGGCACATTGAGATTACTTCAGATACTCGTTCAGACTGTGTATTATTGAAGTGGCGTTGGAGGAGGGGGCCGAAGCAGGAGTGGCATTTTATTTTCCTCTCCTTTGTCTAACCTCCCTCCTCTCTTTTTCATCTGTGTATGTTTATTTCGTCTCATTCTATCTGGACATGATCTTGATTATTGGTACTCATCAGTTGTTGACATTATCTGGACTTGCATTGTTAACATCTGTTCTCACGATCTGGGTTCATTACAGTTAACCACTGTCTGTGTCAAAGCTAACGGCTAGCTGTGTCACAGTTAACTGCAGTTAACTGCTAGCTGCGTCGGAGTTAACTGCAGTTAACCGCTAGCCGTGTCACAGTTGACTGGTAGCCCTGTGACGGTTAACCACTGTCTGTGTCATAGCTAACGGCTAGCTGTATCACAGTTAACCGCTAGCCATGTCACAGCTAAGCACTAGGCGTGTCACAGCTGGCTGCTGGAGGCTAACTATGACACGGCATTGCGCCCACCACATCTGGAGGGATGTGCAGGCTTGCCAATTTGCGAAAAATACATCCAGGCAAAACAGGCCTTGCAGGCAACACATTTTGCCGGGATGCTTTTGTTGCAAAGCAGCAGGCTGTGGTACATCTCGCCAGGCGTGAGCACTGCCGTGTCATAGACAAATCACTGGGAAAAGCACGGGTGGTTTAAACTGTCAGTACACCGCCTGGGCAAACTTGAGAATTGAAAATCAGTCATTCCGAAAAGCTCGGAGGCTTGGGGCCACGGGGCTAAAATGGCTGGCACCGCCAGCCAAAAGAAAAGAAAAACTGCTGCACTGGCCTTTCGGCGAAGCTTGACGTGCAGGGGGAATCCACCTTGGCAAAAAGAGACTTGGATGTACTCAGTGGTTTAATTGTCAGTTGCAGGCTATAAGAGATATTGAGCGTCAAGAGTGCCCATTAATGGTTGTGGGTGAACACGGAAAGCCAACAATAGATTGAGTAATTTACTTCGAAAATCGGATTTCAAGTTGCTCAACAATGTTAGGCTACACCAGCACCTGTGAGGGCTCGTTACCATCAAGAGTGAACCATGGTCCAGAGAACACTGTGCAAACAAACATGAGAAAAGCAGGCTGGATTGACCACACACTCAGATTCGGACGTGCTCGAATGTATCTCACCGCATATTGCAGCCAGATAAGGGCCCAGATTAGTAAAAAGTCGTAAAAAGCGCAAAGAGAAACCGGCACTCGTCCATGCTTTCTTCTCCCAAAGAACATGCTCACTATGATGTCTGTTTCTGCCCATCCATAATTGTTACGTGGCAGTGTCTTCTAATCTATTTCCTTCTGCTATAAAAATACACAGAGAGAGAGAGGGGGAGAGGGAGAGAGAGAGAAGGGGAGGGGAGTATGGAGAAATTTGAAGAGGAAGAAGAGCTGGGAGGAATACCACCAAACTGAATGGCCTGCACAGACAGAGAGAGAGAGAGAGAGAGAGAGAGAGAGAGAGAGAGAGAGAGAGAGAGAGAGTATGGGAGCAGTGTGAGGAAGACCAGCAAACTGATTGGCCTACAATCTCATTCGATGATGTGACATTTAACCTGCTGTGAACAGTGATGAGTTGCTCTTCATCTTTAATGAAGTTTAATCTGGTCAGCCTGCTGTCTGTTTTTTTTTTTTTTTTTTTTTGTTAGCCTACGGTTTTGATTGCACAGACAGGGTAAATAGAGTAGTCTGTCACAACTTCTATAACTGCTGTCGCTCATTTTTTTTTCTATCTTCAATTTTGTGGACAACAGGCGGCACTTCTTGAATGGGCAGATGATGTGGAGACCTTTAAAACGCGTGCATACGGAACAGCTGTTAATTACCGCATGGCAATGCCTCTGGTCCATGATATGCTCCAAGCTATGGATGTCATAATGGCACATACAAAGGAACGGAGATCTGGGTTTGTTCAAAGAGCGCATTTACGGTTTGCACATGCGGAGACTGTTATTCCCCTGACGTGTTTGCTCGGTCTCTTTCTTGAGAATGCAAGTAAGTATCAATCGGTCGATTGCCCTTTGTCAATTCAGTCACCACTGCTCTCTTCCCTGTCTCTCTCTTCCTTCGTCACTGACAATCGCACTCACTCTTCTCTCCCTCTACCTCCCAACGCAGGCCGTCCCTCTCTTCCCTTCGCACCCTCGACACTGACATGCCTCTTGATCCTCATTGGGAACTCTGCTGGGACACTGGTTAGCCTCTGCTTATATTTTCTTGTCAATTAATCTGAAAGGAATTCAAAGCATGGTCAAACTCTTCAAAAACAGGTGGTTGATATGATGATAAATAATAAAGCCCTTAATCTGATAATGCACAAGGCACAGATCCAAAAACGGGTGTGTCCTGATGATGGTGGTAAAATCATCCGCCCCTTTAACGGTTTAACCCCCTTTGTTCTTTCATTTGTTTGTTTGTTGCATGTTGTTCGCTGATGTGTTCTTTTCCTTTTGCTTTTCTTCTGGTGTGTGCTCGGCTGTCTTCTTCTCCTTTTCCTTTTCCTTTTCTTTCGCCTTGTCGTTTTTCCTTTTTTTTGCTGTATGTTTGTAACTTTGTATACATGTGAGCGCTAACAGTGAGTTAGTGATGATTGCTATCACCCAAGTTAAGGCGCCTAAGGAAAGAGAGGGCGGAGAAAAAAAAAGGGGAGGCGGGGTATTTTGCCAGATGGGCCAGGGTGAGCCGTTTTCAGCTGGTGGCTGACATCAAGGCTTAAGAAAAGAAAGCGAAGGACAGAGGGGGGGGAAAGTGAGTTCAAGGTACAGAGGAGCTGACATCAAGGCTTAAACCACCATTACATCCAGCTATCGGTCGCGGGCCCTTTTCGGAGGCCGCCCTCCGTCAATTCAATTTATCGACGGTGCTGGGCCTCCGAAAATTTTGTAGGCGACGAGTTTTCTTTTCAGCAAGGTTGGGGCCGTGTACTGGCGGTTTAAGAAAAGAAAACGAAGGATAGGCGGGGGAAAAAGTGAGTTTGAGGTACAAAGGAAACAGAGAAGAGAAGAAATATAGAAAGTTAAGAAGGTCATGTTGTGTAGGACGATTTTGAAGTTTTAAGCTGATTTATCAGATTTAATCATTTAACTGATTATTTAATTTATCAATAATAACAAAACAGAGAAGTTCAGCCTCAACCAAGAAGTGGACGTCGAAGAAAAAAGACAAAAATGAAAGGTACAGAATCTACAGATCATAAACTAGTGAAGTAGAAGTAGAATCATTGGATTGTATGTCTTTTTCCCACTTAGGCACAGGGATATCTCACTACTACTACTGCCCTTGATAGATGGTGCCTTCAGTGCAGTGTCCCACTCATGAGGGAGTCTCTCTGACTGCCAGGTTGGATTGTCGCTGTCGCTGTCCATGTCCATGATTGTGGAGATGGTAATCGAAGTGAAGCTCTCTTCTTTTTCTTCTTTTTTTTTCTTCTTTTTTTTTTAAGGTCCAGGGTGTAGTAGAGGGTGGTGCCCAGGCCTCAGGAGGTGCCCGTAGTACTCATCCGTCGGGGTATCAGAGGGATTGCGAGGAACCAGGGGGAGTCACCTCAGGATGCCACCATGGTACCATGACCTATGCTAATGCTCAGATTGCAAGTCGTGATCTGCACCAACGCTTACCGGACTAACCCGAACGTCGCCGTGCAGACACTACCCTCCCATAACTCTAATGTTAAGGACGACCGGGGCACAGGTGGAGTCCATGCATATGCAGTCATCCCCCATCTATGCCTCATCCTGCAGACTCTATTGGCAGCGAACCGCCCTTCCACTTCCTACCCCAGGCTCCCCACGAATCCACAGTCCTGACTCCCGACTAATTCCCTAACGAGAATTCCCACAGACCCCAACCTGGATGAAGCACCACCTGCAGGCATCGTGAGACACCTGTGGGATGAGAAGATCCCAGTACCTACCCCATACTAACACCCAGTGTGTGCGTAGGATTAACCCCCCGGGGATGGACCCTACCGTACTCGAAGTTCGCTCTGTGTGGACTCTCGTACAGGTGCCATAGTGACGGGAAACATGCTAGCTGTACCCAGGCTCGACCATGGCACCCCCACGGACTAGTATGTACTAGCGAGACTGACAGATCGGAGGGTCCAAGTGGCCACACTGAGGTATCGACGGTTTCGACAGTTGTGGCAGTTTTTTTGGTTATCGACAGTCTAGGCAGTTTTTTGGGTTATCAACAGTCTAGGCAGTAACCTCCTCCCTCTTTAATCTACCCTAACCTATCCCTCCCCTCCTTGCCCCCCCTGGCCCATGGCGGAGCCAAGACAAGACCCTGATCCTCAGACCCCCTAAGACCAAGCTGCAATGACTTGCTGATTCCGGCTGCCGAGATTGTCTGCGAGGCTGTACGCTAACCTGTAGGTTTAGTTTTGTAATTTTGTTTGGCTGAGGGCTAACCGAGAGATCCGCCTGTGTGGAAATTCGTGAGGGACAGATCTGTAATTTTTGGGAAAATACAGACCTGGCACTAACCGAGTTCCTACAGCTACCCTAACTGCCTATAGCAGGCCCGGGCTACCCCTAGGACAGACAGGCCCTAAGTGGCCTATACTGCTATACGGTCCTATAGCCTATAGCCGGGTCCGGTAGAGGCCGAGAGGCCGAAACAGCAGCGGTACCGGTAGGTCCAGTCAGTCCAGTCTAGGTCTAGGCTAGTGTAGAAAGTCGTGTAGAAAGTCTCTAAGTCCTGTAGGGGAATCGAGTAGGGACTTTTGGCTTTTCATTTTTCGCGTGCAGCGTTGGTGGCCAACGAAGTTTAGCAGCGCTGAATGTCTACAGCGGCACCTGCGACATCA